GCAATAACTTTAGGTAAAGGTCATGTCAACTCCAAGTTTCTTTCCCAATCATCATATTTAAGTTGGCCATTAAATGCTGAATTAACAATTAATCTATACAATAACATAAAAACACAGGTATGAAATCACAGTTTTCATCAATTATTTGAACTTATTAAAAATATCATTTTAATATAACCATTTTGAAGAATGCAAATGGCCTGAACGTAGTATAGTGTCTAAATTATACTACCAATAGAAATGTTACATTTCCCTTCTGCCTGGAGAAAATGAGCTCATGCAAGTATTTTTGACACTCACAGTGACACATACGGTCTGTCATTCTAAGGATGTGCAAGCAGCTCTCACTTTTAAACATGAAAATATGATTCAGAGTCATACAGTTTTCTGAAATATCAGCTTTCACATGATTTCGATAAGCTCTAAGCCAAATGATAATTTTGACTGGTTTCAGGTATCAGACAAAGCACATAATTAAAAGGTAGTAGTAAATGATTCTGTTAGCACAGACTAGTAATCACGGCGGCTAGCTTAAAGCGAGGATGATTTTGCAGTACAACGAAAACTGTAGTATAAAATACAATGAGTTTGAGATACAGAGCAGATTATCCAAGTAGAAAGCAAACTTAAAATACAAGCTCTAGAAAAAATGATCAACCTTACCTACTACTCATCTTAGCCCTTGTTAAAATACCCTGAGTAAAATGCAAGTATTTTAAATAATGCTAGTTATATACGTTTTCTCTAGAAATGAACCATAAATGTTAATGCATCACGTTTTTTTTTGTTTTTTTTTTTTTTATTTACAACAGTCAGGTAATGTAAAAATTAGTTCTTAACCAGTCACAATATAAACATTAAAGAATACCTACGTGACATCTGGACGTTTTTAATTTTCTAGCTTTTGTTAGCAGTTTGGCAAAGCAAGTGATACATAAATGGTTTCAATGTAAAAAAGAAAAATCATAAAAGAGAAAAATATATAAAATTTACAGTAGTTGCTACCCACCCTGGGCCAACCTAGATCCCTAGAAAGCTTCTCCCAAAGGAAGCATGCCAGTCCTCCAGCAAAAACAGCCCCATCTTTTCATCAGAGGCTCTCCCTTCAGTGATTCTCCTCCAGGGGAGAGGACAGGAGCCAGGTTCCCTCGAATGCCATTCCCCAGATGTTCAAAACGAAACTAATTTATTAGCATTAGAAGCTTTGGTTTATAGGGGAATCTCACTGGTCCAGTTTGTAGCCTACAAAAAAATGGATTATTTTTGAGTATAACATTAGAATGTGAATAAAGGATGAGGATGTGGCTTTTTATTCCATAGAAATGAATACATTTGCAAACATGACAAAAATTAAACAAACAAAAAAAGCATGCCTACCATTGAAGTTGGGGTCCCTCCAGATTTTTTAATGTTCTTGGAAGGCATTCCATGAAGGCGACTGAGTCTAGCTTGGAAACCTGGAAAATCCAAGCACTCAACTTAGGGGACTCTGTGGTCACTGGGGCATAGAAAAAGATCCTGTCAATGACAGGATTCAAAAAGTAAGTGGGCGAAGGGAAGCATCTCGAATAGTCGTGGGGAAAAGGCAAAGCCTGAACTTAAAGGGCCTGAAGCCATGCCGGGCCGGGGTCTAACGTGGGCAGCGCACAGTATCGACTGCTTAAGCATGAGGGTGTCATCCGGGGCTTTCCTTTGCTTCTGATGTCCCTTTCCCGTCATGTCAACACTTTCACGGTGGGGCTAGCACGACCCCAAGTCAAACCTCTCTAATAATTTGAGAGCACGACGGATGCAGTAGCTGAATTACTGGTCCACGTGTTTCGTTACAGCATCTCGCGTTTGCAGCCTTTCATTTCCAATTTTGCCTTAGATCCCTAGACTGACTAGAGCCCGTGGTTCCCACCCGGCAGGAAGCGCTACTGACCTCTTCTTCCGGGATGCGACGTAAGGGGGAAAGAACCGGTTAAGATACTTTCAAAGACGGGATCCGGTACGTTTTTGTCTAGCTCGGCGGGGTCTTCCTTTTCCCACCAGGGCACAATTCCAGTGATGCCACAGGCTCCACCCGACTCCTTTTCGTAAAACCAGTCACTCTGCTCATCATCACCTGTGCAAATACAAGAAATCCCCCAAAGATTCGGCTTTATTATCCAAATAAAGCCAGTTGTCAGGTTGAGATTTAAAAAATACAAGAGAGCAATTCAATTTGAATTTCTGATAAATGATTAATTTTTAATATAACTATAGAGTATGTGTATGGAATTTTTAGTATGTATACTAAACATACGTAAAAATAATTTGTTAGGTATCTAAAATTCAAATTTAACTGGGAGTCCTGTATATTATTTGGCAATTATATATATAATCTATCTATATCTATATATACATATATATATAAAACCTTTATTCTACCCCACAGTTTCATTTAAGAAATGGTTTTTTAACACTATAACAAGAACTGCCATCAACAAAAATATAAAATGCTGTGTTTTAGAACTAAATGTAAAAATGCGAAAAACAATAATAAACCAGTTAATCCTTTGGCAAAAACTATAGAAAAATCCATTTAAATTGCTATCCTTTCCACATTAAGGAAAAATAGGCCTTAATCTCCTGCCAGAAATTAAAAGGTATAAAACTGCAGAACTTATTCTTTGCAGCTGATAATGGTATCTATTAGCTTAATTTCATGATGTATATGGAGTGTAAAAGGGGAAACAGTCATGAACAGATGTGACTAAATGGAATTAATCTGATTAAGTTCATTAACCAATAGCTGTGAAAAAGCTGATTTTAAATGAAAAGTGACAATACCGCAGAGTTTACAAAGAAACTTATACCGGACTACTACAAGGTGTTTTTTTATCACTAGTCAAAGTAAGTTTGAGAACATCCATAAGTAACCGTGGCATATTGATCAATTTAAAATTTAGTTTGAAACGTGCCCTGGGTGTGAATCAATAGTATTTTTTATTTTAAAAAGGAATAATAAAGAGACAAAAATACAGAAAAAGAGAGCTTTTAAAAATAAGAGAGAAACAGCATTTTGAATACAATCTGTATTCAAAAGTCTTCTTCAAAAGTTTCTTCATGATTCTTATAAAAATCTACTGCCACAAACTTTTCCCTTTAGAAAAAGTTTTTGATTTCCATTTCTCATTACAAATATTTTTTAATGCAAATTAAATAAAAATGTAAGCTTCAACTGAAAATGATTTTATGGGAAACAGCTATATTTCAAATTATAAGGGAGAAAAAAATTTTAAGCATTTGGAAAACCAGAGTCACCAGTATTTCAATTGAGGATTTAATAAAAATTAGTTTTAAAAAAAATCACAATTCAAAACATATAAATATCAGCACTTTTACTGAGAGTTATATTGAAATTTCACAGATTAGGTATAACCATTAGAAAAGAAAGGGAATCCCTTGAAACTGACTACCCTAGGTCTTAATTCCTATTAAGACAACATCACTATAGAAAAACAAGGTTATTTTGCTCTTGATGTGAGACACAACTTTATTCTTAACAGGGAAATCAAGTAGGTAAAGATTACAAACTTGGGCTCTAAAGGCAAACAGATCAATTAGAATTCTAGTGTTCTGTAACATTGGGAGTTACTACAACACTATTAGCCTAGGTTTCATCATCTTAAAAAGGGAGGGCGGGCAGATATCATAAGGGGGTTTAAAGAATTTAATAAGAATTTAAAGTAAATTAAATGTGAAAAAAAAGCACTCAGCAATGTGAAATATAATAAGCTCACAATAAATGCTAGCATAATATTCTAAGCTACTCCATGCTTTTCAAAGATTGATAGGCTTATTAAAATGTTATTTTTTTAGAGTTTTTTCATTTCATTTCATTACCAAATTCAACAGTTATACTATAGCTTTGGGTAGATCTATGTATTTTAACGAGAACTTAGGTATATTATCGAGATAGTCAAACTCGCTCTTAGCCCTGAGGTTCTACCATATTTTAGCAAAATCTCTTCACTTTAAAAAGTCTACAGCTTTTAAAAGTTATGTACCTATTTATCCAGGACAAATGGTTTACAAGTAAACAGAAAAGAATGATCACTTAATTTACTGGTATTGCCAAGAGAAAAAAATATTGTCTAAGAAAATTATTATCTAAGAAACGACTGTGTGGGATGGCTATTATGTTGTCCTTTTTCTCACAGCATCTTTAAACTACTAATATTTAAAACAATAAATAGTACCTTTACCCTTAGAACTTACTGCTTTCCTCTAAAGATTCTTAAGAAATACATTTAACATTTATGATTGAGGATCTGCACGTATGCCTCCTGCTCCCTTATTAAGGTTTTTATACTTTCTTCCAGAAGAGGTAGTTTCAAAATAATGTCACGGTAAAGTATGAAAAGCCTCAGGAAATTTCTAAGATGGAAGAGATCTAAGTTGTAAAACATTACTGTTTAACAATTACAATATTGAATCCATGAAAATTGTCTAATTACTTACAAACTAGATAGGGTGAATAAATGTCACAGCTGAATAAAAATGACAAATGACTTGCAAATCTAACTATATAAATGCTTAAACAGAATTAAATACACTTGAAATCAGGTGAAGAATGAGAACCAGTGTCTTGTAAACTTGCTAAAAGAGACAAAGCTGAGAGGACTGAGGTATGTAAAGCTTCCTGAAGGAAGATAACCCTCCTTCGGTGTTATCAGCTCTGCATACTAGCATTAGAGATAGTCAGTTACTTGAGGTTATGAAGACAAGATACGTCCACGGCATGTGAGAGAGTTAAACCCCAGTGCACTACGTAGTGTGCATAAGGTAAATGGGTCGCAGTCATCAACTTATGGAACAACTAGTAATAAGGATAACTTTACAATGAAGACTTTTTCCAAAGAGAGAAGAAAAATGACTTTTCAGTACCTTGCCTTCCCTCATCGTTGGTAAACAGACCAGCATCAGTGCTGCTGAGGCTGCTGGAATCACTGTCATAAGGAAAAGAAAAAAAACAGATCAGAAGAACAATTGATCTCTCAGTCGTAAAATTTAAAAGACATGGCAGCTCAGAGATGGACCTTAAGCCTAACAAAGATTTGAAAGGAAATAAGATGATTTTTTTTTTTATTCTTCAAACTGCAAATATCCTGGTTCCATTAACTACAGAGCATATTATTTTGGGCACATAAAACCACAGGAAGCTAACGGGATCCTGACGGGACGCCAGATGTGCCTGCAACGAGGTCCTGACACAATGGATGCATTTCATCATCCGCTTTCCTCCGACGCACACTGCTCCTATCCCATGCCATGCGGTTCCGCTCGAGCTGCGGACACCGCCGCTCGGTGAAACGGGAATAGGCTCCATCGAAAGCAGGCTAAGCCTTTCTTCCGCACATGAAATACAAGAGCCTGCGACGAAATTACTTTTCACAATAACCACATGGGCAAATATCCTGGAAAGGATATTACTTAAGAATCCACAACAACTCTATGACTCAGCAAGAAAGAAAATAGTTGACAAGAGTAACGATCCAGATTAAATCAAAGTTAAGGTCTCTCTGGGCAAAAACTGAGCAAAAAAAGATTACCAATATGAAGGAGTATGCGAAAATAACTCCTATAGAGAAGCTGGAGCGTGTCAAAATTAACATACACGTTAAAACAAAGAGTAGGCATTCGACGGACATGAACTAATTGTTAATATTAGTTCGAATACAAGAAATGTGATAACATAGTTAAAAAAAAAATTACGGTCATACGATAAACGGTTTGTCCTCTAAAGAAAGTGAATGACGTTCTTTAAAAATTCACACATATTCTCTTCATATTGTAATTCTTAATTTTACTAATCAGAAAACTGCCCCAGGTGAATTTTTATATTATAATACTTTTTTCATTAACATCCTAATCTGTTTTAAAGTATTTAAATTGAGTATTTAAAAAAAAGATTAAAATTATAGACGAGGTCTAAATCCATATATATTTTTTGAAGATAAAATTTCATCTCGGTTTCTGTTTGAGTTTTTGAAAACAAATATAAACAAAAACTAAAAGAATTTAAGTGACACTGTCCTTAGGAACTCTGAACCTTTAACTTTCCTCAAGTTAAGAGAATGTATGAAGCTCCCTATACTACATAAGCATTAATGAAAGAAAGTAATACTTTCTAAGAGCACCAAATCCACATTTTATTTACAAACATACATGCTGGTCGATGCACAGTGATGTTAGAGTATTAAAAACACTTTGGGAAGTCTGTGTCTTTTTGCTATTTAGCTGTCCAAACTACTATTGATTTTTTCTTTCTCTTCTGTGACTCTGTAGTGCTTTCCTGTCTGTCCCCAACAACGCAACTCTAATAAAGGGACTTGTACACACCTCAGGTCCCCATCCCCTTGAAGCAAAATGTATTTAAAATTCAGAATTCTTCAAATTTTAGAGGGGTATGTTCTAAGATGCCTAGAGGGGGTTGGGACAGCACTCCGTAATCAAACACACTGATATAATTGTTTTCAATTAAATGAATGAATATCCACATTAAATACAGGTCAAGTTAGGTCTGGCCACAAATAAATTAGGTTTTCACAGCTTTCAGAATTCAGATTTGCAGATAAAGGATTGTGAATCTATGTGCTTTTCATCTATTTATTTTTTGCACAATGGTCTTCTAATCTCTCTGAGTTCAGAGAGTTTTACCCTGTCTAATATATTCTACATGTAAGCAGGTTCATCTTATCAAAATATAACTTGTTGACTAAAAATATGGATGGGATCCTGGAACACGAAAAAGACATCAAATTAAAACAAAGGGAATTCTAATAAAGTATTGACTTTTGTTAATAATGTGCCAACACTGGCTCATCAATTCTGGCAAATGAGCCACAGGAACGTAGGCTATTAATATTAACAACAGGGCACAGGACATCCATCTCTGTGACTTTTCTGTAAATCTAAACAGTCTTAATAGTCTTCCATTAAAAATCTAAAGTTACTTCGCCACACTTGTTGGATTAAATTTAGATTTCAAGGCGCTCTCTCTCTGGGTAGACGCCCACCTAAATTCTTCCCATCCTCGCCTCTGGTCTTTCTCTAAGGGGGGTCTTTATGTCCTCGCTCATCTCTCTCTGCTTGGTCACTCTTCTCAAAGATGTAAAGAAATCAAAACCGCGTCTCTGAGACCAGCCCTTAGTTCTCAGAGATCTCGTCCTAACTTGAGATATTTTTACATGCGTTTTAAACAACGTTTCCTAGTTACATTTCACCTCACTGACGTCCAGCTAGATGCTCTGGGCACATCGTGTGGTTGTTAACGTGTTCATCAAATCGGTACCTGACGGCCATTATGGCTCACTTGCCGGGACACCTTCTTTCACTTTTTTCAGTGTGACTCGTATAGCGCAGAATTCGGAGGAGACATGCCCTGAATGCTTATTGAATTAATGGATGTGCACTAATCGCAATCTCCAGCCCCAAGCTGTTCATTTCCTCTATTTTCTCTTCCTGAAACCCGGGCATCATCTGAGAGTCCTTTTTCTCATTCATCCTCTGACGTACAGTCGGTCAACCTTCCAGGGTCTCCAGCTCTTAAAACCGCTCTCGTATATTTTTTTTTCTGTACTATCACTGCCATAATTCACCTCCCATTGAAGGACAGACCGGAGGTCAGTGAAAGCCGAAGGAAACACTGCTGTCAGGATCACATGTGTTATCTTGATAACATGAAAATCTAATTGATAACATGGGAGTCTAACTTAGTTTCTTCACTGACTTCCCCATTATTTATATGGTGAAATTCAAACTTTTTCCCACAGTGCACGAGGCCTTTAAGACCTGCTTATTGCTGTCGCCTCGACTCCGACTTTATGTTCTGGTCATAATGAACTACATATACTTTTACGAATATACCACGCTGGTTTCACAAGCCATGCCTTCGCGCAAGGTGGCCTCTACCCAGCAATGCCATTTCCCTCCCTCACTTCCCTCCTCCAACATCCCTGCAGGCTTAGCGCTGCTCTAAAGCACAGCTCCTTCAGGAAGTCCTCCCTCCAGTACCTTCCTTCCGCACATTTCGTTTTCATCACCTGCTTGTCTGCTATTCCAGATTATGACGCTTAGAGAACAGGGGCTGTCTCATGAGCAGTCTCAGCACTATGAGTGAAGAGTGAACAGCAGTTACTCAGGGCCTGTTAAATCACTCACACACACGGAAGCAGTTCAATTCTTACTTATAAATCGGTTCCAAGGAAATACATAACTTTTTACAGGAGGAAAGCTTTGGAAGTAGTCTCAAAAAAACTTACACTTGTTGGGAAAACACCTTAAATATTTAGCAGTCTTCCCACAGGACGAATATGCATCTAACTCTTAAGTGACAAGGAAGAAACAATTATACACGTAAGTTAAAATAAAAGAAATGAAGAGGGTTTCATCTCATTTCTCTTCCACGGTAGATCTCTGTCAATAAAAGGGAGGCTTGCCCAGTCCATCCAGAAAGCAGGGAATCTGTGAATAATCCAGAATTGAGCACTATCTCCACTGACTCCCTTCCTCCCTCCCAGCAAGTGAGCAAGATAATTACTTTCAAGTCAAGCTAAGTGTCCTCAGTCACAGTGGACCAATAGCAGCATACAAATCATTCTCATTCTAGTATAAAAATGACATGTTTCTTGGAAGAAAAGCAGAAACATAAACTTTTCAAAATCTTTCTGAAACGTTTTTAAAGTAATTTTTACTTCTTTGGAAAAACTGCATAAATACATAAATAACAAACCATTTCTAATAAAAGGCCCATTCTATAAAATTTTACCAGGTCCTACTCGTGTCTGTAATCACATAATCACATTTACAAGCAAAAAAATATATATTTTTTATAGATGTATGTATATGTATATGTATGTGTATATGTGTGTGTATATATATATTTGTATATGTGTGTGTGTGTGTGTGTGTGTGTGTGTGTGTATATATATATATATATATACACACACACACACACACACACACACACACACACACATAATTTGTGTGTGTATATATATACATAATAATTTGTGTGTATATATATATACACACACACACACATACATATATATATATATATATTCTATAGGTCACAATCTACTTTTAAAACGCTAATCCTACAAATTAAAAATCAAATATTCTTTACCAGACCATTTTAAGGAATGATTTTTCTGCACTGGTTCTGCATGTGCTTTTAAGGACACACCTAAGAGGATGAACAGTATCAATACTTTCTAATTTTCTGCAAGTAGCATTAATTCTCTGTAAAACAAAAGTGGTCACTTACCTTTTGATGCTGTTAAAACAGTTCTCATCCTTGTGGCATACCTGCTTTCCAGAATGGATAGATTAGACTACCTGCCAAAGGATCACTGCTTTCCCCATTTGTCTAAAGACAAGGTGAGGTGTTTCTAGACTGTAAACTGGGTGTTACAATTCATAAGTGATGAGAACTCCTAGTGATCTATAGACTTAAAATAGCAAGCCACGCATGTTGAAGTGGTATCAATTTTTGAATCTCAGTAATCAGAATAAACTGATGAATTGTGAAACAAAAGAACGAAAGACTAATACTCTATAGTTAAACAAGTAAGTAATGATATATCCAATTCTGAGAGTTACGGGTGTGCGATTATTCAAATGCACATCCTTCCCTGTGAAGATCTATTTCCTTTTCTCTTTGTAGCTAAAAATTAAGTCATTACAACAAAATCAAAACACTTTGTATAAATCAAATAAGCGATTTTGTTTTGTCATAAACGTCATAAATGATAAGAAAACGTAACCCTGGTTAAGCAGTAATATCACTACCATTATAGTTAGTTAAAAATAATAGAATTAATTTAAAAACAAAACACATTCACCCACGAACACTGCAGACACATATCTTTATAGTTAGGAAATCTGAAAGTCACCTTTCACTCATGAGTTCATCGGAGACTTTCTGCTCCTCACAGTCCATTTTGTCCTTGTTGCTCTGGCTCATTTCCTCACTTTCCAAAACGACGCCTTCGTCTGGGATTTTCGGTCCTTGTCTAATGATTCTCAGCTTCCTTTTTTTGACCTTGTTCCTGGTAAACTCCTGGTACTGGTAGGCCCTGTCGCTGTCCATGTCCTGGTCCCTGCCACCTTCGGGGGGCTGCGTCATGGCGCGTTTGCAGCCGCCGTCCTGCGGGAGGTCCACGGCCATGCGCTTCACCTTCCTCCTGCGGCGCAGCGTCCTGGTGGCCAGGCTGGGCCCCAGGCTGTCCACGGCAAAGTCGCACTCGTGCCACAGGGGCCTCTTCCCGCGGACGCTGTTGTTTAAGTTTGACGACGGCCTGCGCTTGGCCACCAGCATCTGGTCATCAGAGTCACTGTGATCTTTTTTGTTGTTATTGTGATTCTCCCTGTAGTCCTTGCTCGGTTCCTCGAGGCTAGAGTCGGAGCCCTCGCTTAAGCAGTGACCGGGGTCCCAGGGGTGATGTGCGTTGTGCGACCTCCGCTTCCGCCCCCTCCTCTTCCTTGCCTGGCGTTTCAGGGGGCAAGAGAGACTTCGAGAATGGTCTCCCGTTTCGGCGAATCCCCCTCGGGCCTGCTCTGAGCTCTCCTCCAAGGCTGAGACGAGATCATGAACCAGTTCTTCCATGGTTCGACTGAAATGCCTACATTGTCGAGAGAAAAAAAAAAAAATTAAAGGAAAAAATATAAAGAAAATAGTATTAACCATGTTAGCCTAGCTCATTACAGCAGACAGTTCACTCTAAATCTGGCGAAAATTAATGGTTATTACAAAGAAATATTTAAAAGCTTTTTAATTTTCCTATCTAACACATTAGAGTTTTAAATATTCGGACTCATTTTAAGGTCTCTTTTCCTGTATAAGTTCTTTTATTAAATATAGGAATTACTTCAAGATAGAGCAGAATATCAGCAATGGAAAGGTCTCAGTAATTTTATATTTTTACTGTGTAATTATGGTAAAGTTATTTCTGCCTAAAAACTGTTCTTTAGCCTATTCCTGTCCTTTTCTGAGAGCCAGATATAGAGAGAACTTTTTCAATCTCCTGCTGGCCCCATTTTTAAGAAGCACCAACCCTCCACTCACCACACGCTCTACCAGTGACGGCCATGCCATGCCCAGTACCCAGACTGGCAGGCGCTCTCAAGATTTGTAATACGTATAAAAAGCAAGTTTAACCAAATACTAGGCATTAAGTTAGGCCACACTAATCTCATAAGCCAGTGAAGCAAAAACTATACTCAAACTAGAGCCTTACTGTTCTGAAATGGCCCATCATTTTTCTTACAAGTCATCTGAAGAAGTCTCTTGGCCTTTTTTTATAAAAAGAGACAAAAACTACTAAGCTATACTACCAGTGAGAAAATTATCCACTAGTCAGCAAGGATAAACATCAGTATTCTTTGAGAATTTTTATAAATTATATTGGCCCTTTCCAAACCCAGCTCCCAAAGATTCTAAATCGGTGGGTGTGCAAGAGGGCTCAGAATTCTGATTTTATTTTTTAAACATAATAGGTAATTCAAATATGTACCTTTCTTATGAAGATCATGAACAATCATTTCTCAAATTGAAGCATCAAAATATTCTACTTATAGAAAACAACATAGTTTCTAGAGTCTATAACAGGGGTAGGCACACTTCTCTGTAAAGGGCCAAACAGTAAACATTTGAGGTCCCCCGGCTAAGCCTTGGGCACTGCTCACTCAGTTTTTTCATCATGTGGCAAAAACGGCCACAGGTAATACATACCAGAATGGGTGTGGTAGTGTTTCAATTACATTTTATTTCCAAAACGAAATGAGGGCAGGCGACACTTTGCTGACCCTTCTTCATGTATTCTCTATAGTCTATATTTTCAGAAGTTTGCCAAGTCCCCTACAATAACTTTCAACTTTGTCTTTTCATTTCAATGATAACCTGAAAACACACACGTCGTGATTCAAGTGGGTTTACCACTCAGAGGACAACGCATGAGTAGCTCCTAGCCCTTGAGCGATGCTATGTGCCAGGCCTATTTTAAGTGTTTCACACGCATCATCGCATTTCATCCTCACATAATAACCCTATGAGGTGGTTGATGAAAACACACCGGCAGAGGCTGGGGGCAGCTTGCCCAAGGTGGCACACCCAGGAAGTGGTAGAAACAGGATTCAAACCCTAGCAATCTGGTTCCAGAGCCTGAATGCTCGCCCAGCTGCTGCCAAAATCAGCTACACGATCCCAGAACCCAGCTTGCATTTTTGTTCATGAGTTTTAGCAGCAGGTGGTACAATTGTGACGAAACTGATGATCCAAACAGGTCTCTCCTCCATCACCTCTGTTAATTACTGCCTTTTTGTTTTCCCTTTCCTGAGAATTTTGTTCTTTCCCTTTAACATTATTTCTTTGGAAGAGACGTAGTCTGAAAGACCTGGTTTTTTTTTTTTAACATAATACTGCACCTTTAAAAACTGCCTGCTGGCCAGTTTAAACACATACTACAATAAGGATTTTTTGTCAGGAAGACTCAGTATCACCTGGTTCTGGAGTCACTTACTTTATGAAGATTCAGTTTTCTTACCAATAGGTGAATTACTAGTTCTAAATATTAATATGAAATTAACAATGCATGAATATAAACTCCAGCTAAAGTTGCAGATTATTTTGGAAGTCACAATTTAATGCTTTACTTTCAAAGAGAAAATTTGGTCTTAACATTAGAAAAAGGTTGGCAGATCAGATTCAACACATTAAAATCTGATACTCTTCATTTAATTTCATTTTTAAAATATTGCTGTAACTATTAGTTTAACAATATATAACCAATAATGATACTAAGAACGAAAGCAAAATTTCTTTATAACATCATTAAAATTGTGTCAGCCGTATTTGATTGTTTTTCTAAAGAGAAATTAAAAAAAAAATAACTAGAAGAATCCAGTTTATTCTATAAAGTCACTCAAACATGAATCAACTAAAATACTACTTTAGAAATCGTTTTTTAAAACCCTATAAAAACATAGGAAAAATACCTTTAATATAAGTCCATTCGAAATTCAAATCACTACCTCCCCCCTTCAGTTTCAACTAACCAGACTCCTGCAAGTCGATTCCCCCTAAACCCCTGTTAAAGAGCCAATAACGTTAGCCAGTGGGCAAGGTGCTTCACTTCCATCACTTGGGTAAAACTGGCACCACTGGCTTCACAGAAACAAAGTTATCACAAGAGACCATGACGTGATCAATAGCTCATGTATTTCCTTTGCCTTCACATTTACACTGAAGACACCACGGCAGTGAAACACTTTATCCTAAAAGTATTTTCTTTAATAAGACATTTCCTATTGGAGGGGAAACCTGGAAATACATAACTTTTCTATATAAAAATCTGTTTATTAAGCATCCAGTTTTGAAGTTCATAAATTATAAAATTCAGCAAATTACTACTTTGCTAATTTGAAAGTTTTATATTCGCATTTATAAAATAATTTCTGTTCATTTGGAAATGAAATCTTTGGGGAATAGTCTGTACTGGGAGTAATGTCTAAGATAGCAACAGTTCACTAATAGTTTTTTTAAGATGGTCCAAATAAAGAGAATAAAGTTATAACCCCACTATGTATATAAAGCTGGATTTTATAAAGGGAAATGATTTGAGCAGATAAGCATTTTGTTTTTTTCAGGTGGTACTAGATTATGCTGAGTACTATAAAATGTACAATCAACCCAAAATTTGATGTGCCAGATCTGGGTAAAAATATTTGGCCAAAGGTCAAGTTTGTTTGCCCTCCTCTAGGAAATACTAAACATCCAGTAAAATGAGTGAACTGGTCTCCTTGGCTTCCTTAATACCCAGGCTTAATTAATTAAAAAAAAGGCCTTCCTAAAAACTATTTTGGCAGTGACTATTAATATTTGAAGCCTCCATTAGCAATAACTACTATTCCTAAGAGAAAAAAAACATAATTTATAGAAAAACTAGGGAATAATTTCCTTGAGTGGATATTGGTTTAAAAATAACTGCATAACAAGAGGATAGATATGTGTGTCTGCTGAATAAATCTAACAAGTTCATCAGAAAACAAAAATCTTCCAGATATAACTAAATGGTAATTGACTACAGCTATAAATATCTAGTTAAGGAGGAAAAAAATCAAACATTCTTTGTCACCCGGTAAAATTCTCATATTTATCTTTATAAAACAGATGATTTCTTCCACAAAGTTAAATAATTTTAGAAGCGGAGTGCTAAAAGTTACCTGTTGCTAAATACAACTTAACTGGCTTTCAAAAACTTAAGGGAAGAAATAGTCATTTAGGTGTTAGTTTCTGTATGAATAAAAATTCAGCGTGTACAAAAAAACTGTACTAACACAGCACCTGTTCCTGAACTATACTGATTGACGGGTGTGTGCTATGACTGCTCGCAAATTTAAGAAAAGAGACTCAGAACTAAGTGTCTCGTTACTCATGTTAGCTTCATTTTAAAATTTAAAAGGATAGTTGGCCTTAAAAATATATAGCAAACGGCCAAACGGTATGAATTAAAATTGATGCATAACAGCATAACGTTGACAATGAGTGACTAAACATGCAAATGGTGAGCCTTAGGATGACACAGCAAGGACTAAATTTCATGACTAATTTAACAGAATGTGATCCATAAGAATTATACTGTTTAAGATTTCTGCTGCCCATCAGAATTTATAAATTTGGTAATATTGCCAAAATAAGTCTTTATTTCAGCCTAATAACTTATTAATAGACTATGTCTTCCTTTTTCTCCTTGTTATATATTTTGGGGGAGGTCGTCTTAGAAATTCAAGACTAACCATAACATTAAATGTCAATACTTGGGCTCATTTAGAAAACTCCTTGACCTATCTAAACCAGAAGTAAACTTTTCTCTCGTTTTGAAAAAAGGTAGCATGGGGATGGGGGAGCCTATGTTATTCTAAAATGTACTGTAAATGATCGATTATAACTTTATATTAACACTGGGCAATAGATATGAAATATAAAATTCTCTAGGGACGAAAAGGCTGGGAGGAAACTACAGAACTTGAGTTTATAGGTAGTGGTACTCATTAGCCCTAGGACCTCGGACAAATTACTTGTCTTCTAATTGGTTTAGTCATCGTAAAAGCGGGATCATAAAAATGGGTATGATTTCTATCTTGAAGAGATTCTATGAGGATTAAAGTCGGTCCTTAATGCATTAGAACAGTTATTTCAACTTGCAACCGAAGTGGTAAAATAGAGGTTATTTACAATTAAGAGAAACTGGTCACTGAAATGTCAATCCCGTCTGCTTTTAAGGTATAACCATAGTAGGAATCCTGAGGATATCATACAACCAAAGACCTTCAACCTCTGAGATCTTGAACCACTCTGAATGCTGGACAGAGTAGAGATAATAGACATTTGCAAAAATCATTCTTAAAATTTCAAGAGATTCAGGGACTCCTTAAAGATTCTAAGATTTTAAGAAAAAAAAAATTCAAAAATCCCAAGTTAAAAAAAAAAAAAATTCTGTACATCTGACCTGCTCTTGTCTTAATGATATACAGATTTAAGAAATAAAGAAAATCATCCTTCCAAGTGAAGAGTCACAGTTCTCTACGCAGAAAAACTCCTTTCTCATGATGGAAGCGCTCAACCTGAGGTGCTGTGGGCAGCGGCTACTCTGTCACTTTTGTCACAGGCACACTCAGAATGCTTGTTTTCCTCCTTACCCTAGCAACCTGGTGAAAAACAAACCACAGGTGGCTTTAAAGGAAAAAACTCCAATTCTGCTTTCCAAATGGCATGTAATAAGGCAAACTCATTTATTATTTAAATTTGATTTTTGTTACTTGACAACTTCAGTAGTCATTCCAAACGTCTTTCCTTATACTCTAATGACTTTCGAAATATGAACTATTGAATAAGAAACTTCCTAAGTGAATTAATATCAAAGTCTAAAACAACAACAAAAAAATCGTGGAATCTAAAAGACAATTCATTCCAACTCCTGTCAACAGGCATGTATGAGAGTGCATCTAGGCAAACTTCCAGTTTATAGGAAATGAGTCTCATTCATTGCTTCTACATGGTAACTGCTTAATACGTAGCAAATATAGAATATATTCTGTATTCCTAGAATAGCAATGAGAATGAAGACAATTGAATATTAATTACAAATATCAAGCATAATACATGACACATCACAGATGTTAAAAAAAATCTGTTGGATAAACAAACTAATGAATGACTAAATAACAAAAGAAAACTATGACTTGACTAAAAATTTAGACAATCGAGATTTCAAAATTTCTGTCACATTAATAAGTTAGATACTCAAATTTTTTAGTTAAGTAAATGTGCCAAGTTAAGAGCACATTATTGAAGATGGTTTAGGGTTTCCAGCATGCCATAAGATAAGGATGCTAAGAAGCTATTCCAAGATTAATGAGTTATTAGCCCCAAATCATACTGGCCATTGCTCTGATTCCTAATCGTTGAAACAGAAACCTGACTCAAACAAACCTGACAGTATAAAACTGAGTTCAAGACAACGACAAAAAAAGAGCAGTTATTAAAAAATGCACATATTTCACTATGCAGTTTTTCAAGATTAAAAAAAAAAACACCAAAATAACAAATAGTAATGAAACTATAGAAACAAAGGTCTAGAATCAACAGTTTATTTTTAATTTTTTTTAAGGCAAAGCCACAAAGTTAAGTAAATAAATACTGTCGTTCAATATGTCAATAATTCAATATTTTCATTACCAGGGACTTAATTCTTAAAATGTTTAGTTTGACCTATTAAAAAAACCCAGAGATTGACTTTAAACATAAATTATTAATGTAAAAAGTAATAAAGAGAGTGTACCTAAATTCTAAATTTGATTTGTGCACCAAATGAATCACATTTTAAAAGGTTAACATTAGATGTACCATGATAATACATCCTGGACCCTAACGTGAGTGATGAGGCAGGAAGTGACAAACTCTCAGCTATAATTTTTTTTTTTATAAAAACATAATATGAATCACTTTTAAGATTAACTTGAACAAAAAATATATTCATTTCCTGAAATACACACACAAAGAAAATCACAGACTCTTTATTATTTAATTATATAAAACTTCTTTAGGTTTCTTAACTATAAAACATAGTATCAATTCTACTTTTCGGCAAATTGTTAAAAAAGAGATAAACCATCTACAATTACCTATTTGGTGACTAAAAATTGAAATACTAATCTTGATGCTGGAGAAAAAGTTGTAGTCAAGATGGGAGTTAAATACGTCATGAATTCCAGTTTGGTTAACAAATCTGGGCTTATACTTTCCAGTTTACATACTCCTTGAGATACAGTATATTACTCAGACATGGGCAGTACCCTAGGGTGGTTAAGCATTTTTGTAAAATATACTGGAATCACTGCAAATACGCTACTTAAGTAAGTTACTTAAACTATATCTGCCCCTCTCACATCTCTAAAATGAAAAAAAAAAGACAGAACCTACGTCAAGATTTACATAAGGTGATATGTATGTAAAACCTGGCACCAGGTAACCACTTAGTAGTAGCACACCGAGGGGCACTGGAATGTCCCCCCTGGGACAAAACATACATGCACAGTTGTATAGTAAATGCCACTGAAGACAGGATAGCTGTGCAGATAAACTAGAAAATAAAAGTTCCAGTTGCCTGGGACACATTCGTTCTGCCAGATCAGGTGTGATTTCAAGAACTGCATTCAGAAACAGATTCAGTGCAAGGCACTGTGTTAGACTCTGGTGCCATTGCTCTCTGGCGCCATAAGAAAAGATGAGTTGTGCGCTGTCAAGTGAAAATAGGACAGGCTCTTTAAAAGAGAACTGAAGGAGGGTAGCTGTGCATTATAAAGAGGCACCTGACCGTGATTTAGGTAGAAGGTGGAAGGGAGAGGAAGGAGTTCAGAGTCATATTTTTTAATTAAATAGTCACCTATTCTACCAACCAGTATCACTAAAGCACGAGCAGACCAATCTGCATAGCACACTTGGTCTCTCTCCCTTAACAAGATATCGAATGGTGAAACTTTAAGAAAGGTGCCCTGGAGAGAGAACTCTGCGGGATGGAGATGTCTTAGGCCTTGTTTGGTGTGGTAGTTACACGATATGTACAACTGTCAAAACTAAAACTACTAAACACTCAAATACGTTCTATGCTAATTACATCACTATTAAAAAAGTGCTCCCTGCCTTTTTGAATGGAAAATGCGAGAATTTAAAAGGAACATAACTAAATCTATATTCATTATAAAATGAACCATAGAATGAATTGATCTCACTGAAAGCATTTTAGCCAAGACATTCTTTTAACTTTTCAGATATCGGTGATGCAAAATAAATTGTTTGAGGTTACACACTACTAAAATCCCCCATGTTCTCATTTGCTGCAGAATCCAGGAACGGACATACATTTTTTAGCCTCATTTCACCCGTTCGACACTTAATGTTTGAAAATTGTCAGTGGAAAATCTGCTTGTTTGTGTCACTGCTCATCTTGTGTATCTTGGAGGAAAAGAGCTGGGGAGAAAAACGGGCCATATGATAAGAGTTTTCAACTAGAAACCCATCACCCAGCTTCTAGTTCTAGGACTAAAATGTGCATGACAATTTTGGACAAGTCACTTAAGTATTCTGTGCCTGTGATGATCTTCTATCACAGGCCTGTCATAAAGATAGAGTGAAAGCACTTAATATGTGAAAGCACTTTGAAAAGTCAAAGCAATCTATTATTCTAAAGTGGCACTGGTGATATGACACGGTAGACGCTGTCAAACCCCGCACTTCATCCTGGCATTTACATGTTTTGGGGAACACCCATACGTACCTCATTTTAACTAGAATGGAACGTGCAAGGTACGGAAACAGGCATGTCACTCCCTCTCCACAAAAGGGGGTGCGAGGAGGCGGTGGCTTCCACCACCCAACTTCCGAAACTCGAGGTTTCTGCGATTTGATCTTGCAAGAGCCTGGTATAATCTAATCCATTTTAACAGGGAAGTGCTGGAAATAGGCCTGGATTAAGGTAAATTCTCCCTGTCCCTAAGCTGGTCAACAACCACCAGGAAATGAACTGCTCCTGGAGTACAGAAGGCGTGACTCCTAAAGGACCGTCGTGTTCAGACAGCGGTCAGCAAGCCTCGGCTGCGTTTCTTCACAGATCTTTTGCACACACCTCAACGCCTTCCTCAGACTGCGTCCGTCCCAGACGCGAGCGAGAGCAAGGCCTAAGTGTCTTCAGAGCCTCCGTCACAACTCCCGCCCCCTTCCACTCCAGGTCCAGCAGCAGCCTCGGGCCATCACCCCCTTCGCTGATCGCCCATCCCCGGGGCCGCCAGCCTCACCAGCTGTTCCCGGCGGCTGGAGCTCCGATCGGTTGTCGCCCGGCGGCCCCGAACATTAACGACACCCAGGAGCCTGGCCTCGAGGCTCAGGCCCGAGAACAGACTCCGAGTCGCACCGCCCCAGCGCCTTCCCACGAGCAGCTCTGCATCTTGCGCTGAGCTTCCGGACGCGGCCGGCAGGCGGAAGCCGGATGCCGGGAGCGACCACGACCCTCGCCCCCGTCCCGCCTCCCTCGCCCGCAGTCTCCTCTTTGTACCCACGGAAAACGCAGCGGCAAAGCCATCAGATATTTCCCCACACCAGAATTTATTCGTTTTCTTCCTAAGGTTCCAGAAACTGAAACAAGGGGAAACAAAAAGTGGAGTCAAGGCCAAGTGGAACCTTCCTTCCCCCCCCCCCGCCCGGAGCAGCGTCATGGTTCAGCCCGGTTGCCTTGGAGACCGAGAGTAACACCACGGGGAAAGCGGACGCCCGGAGGCGATGGCCACGTTGGCCCGGCTGCAGGCTCGGTGGACGACTGTCAGACAGCAGTTCTACTTTAGGAACAAGTAAGTCGCCGACTCGTAGAGCTGGCTTGACCTCAGCCAGGTGTCCCCAGCGGGAGTTTATGAACAAATTCTCGAATTCAACAACGACCGCCCACTTCTCCCTTTAATTTGTTGTCTGCAAACATGTCACAGGTTTCAAAGTAGTTTTATCATCCAGGGGGGTCAACGGTAGACGGGGGCTATGGATATCGGCTTGAGATGATTTAAGTAAAAGCCCGGCATAGATAAAGTTGTAAAATGAGGTGTTTTTCTTGGATATCATCATTCCGCAATTTGAGGAAACCTCCGTCCTCTCTGTGGAAGGACTAATAGCCTGGTTGGGGTCACCTGGGCTCGCCTATCTACCTGGCGGTTTGGGCCTCCATTATTTTACAAATATCATTGAACTCAACTGTTCTGTGGCTCATTTGTCTCCCAGAAGTGACAGTATCAAAACCATTTGGTTAATCAATACCAGTGCATTAATTGAAAAAAAGACGGCTAAGGAAGATAGATGCTAGCAGCCTAACCCATCTCCCTACACCCAAACTTCTCACTCCCGAAGCAGCGCCCCAGGAGTTTTTCCCACTGAAGAGTAACACCAGAAAAAGTGAATTAGACGACGATAGAATATAGTGACCTGGCACACCAAGGGAAAATTAATCAATAAGACGAGATCTTGCCGAGCTGTTCTTATTCCAACATTTGTCTCACCTGCCACCTTCCTACAGGGCCAGGTGCCTCTCTCACAGCGCTTAATCACAGTTCAGCTTTCCGTTCTGCTGTGAGAGAATATCTATTCTTCTTAAACTAGAAGCAGACTGTCATTTTTTGCTCATTATCATTTCTGTCTCATGTCTATCATAGTTCCTGACACATAGTAGCTGCACAATAATCGCATAAATGAATCTTTCAATCAATCATTGGTCCTAGTTTAAGTAAACACACTAAAAATAGCCAAAGATAGAAATTATCTATTATCTTTATATTATCTATAATGGTAGGTAAATTATCTATTTATTTAGCAATCATTTAGAGGATGTGGCAGGTCCTGTATTTATTTACGGCATATGTCTATGAAAGAAATAAGCTCTGTCCCTCTTGATGTTCGCAGCCTAATATGGGATATAGGCATTTAAAAAATCATTGTGATAGGTTAAGGATGAACAGGAAAGGAAACGACTCACATTTCTTGAGCACTGATTGTATGCTGGGCATGGACTACGAACTTTATCATGGAATATCTCATTTGGTTTTCACAATGGTATAAGTTAATGTATTACTCTATGTTTTTAGAGCTTGAGAACAGTGTTCTAGAGAAGCCTGGAGAAGTGCCACCCTGCAAACAGACATAGTTTCTTATTAATATTTTCAATCTGAAGGAAACTCTTTAAAGATCATGAAGGAATCAAAATGCCAAAGTTTGCCTAGCAGTTTTTTCAAAAGCAGGGTATTGATAGCTTTAGGAGTAAAAACTATATAAAATATTAACGAACAGAAAAACTACACAGGCAGTTTTGTTAAGAAGTTATTATCATTTCCCATCTTTTATAGATTATATCAGTTCTTCCCAAACTTCAGTGTATATTAGAATCATCTGAGGATCTTGTTAAAATACAGATTCTGATTCAGTGGGTCACAGTTATGGCCAGAAGAATCTGCATTTCTCACAAGAGTTCCAGTTCCAGTGAGGCCCCATTTTGGGAAAAAAAAAAAAAAAAAGGAACTGCGTATGGGCTTATTTGATTCTTAAACATCTTTACAAATGATATATTTATTCCCTTTTCACATAATTCAAGGAAAACGAGATTCAAGGAGATTGGGAATTTGCATAAGGTCTCATAACTACGAAGTCTTAAAGCCAAGTAAGCTAGCACTAAGGCCTATGCTGCCACAAAGGGCAAGATTTTTTCCCACTACACTGGTCTGACGAAGTAAGTGGCCGCAAGCACGAAGGCCCAGAAATCCAGATGACCTGTCCCAAATCCATTAAATGTAGGGAACAGGGTTCGAGGAAACACTTTTACTTCTCTTTGGTTTATTTCAATATCTTTCTTCTATATTGGTAACAAAGCAGTGGCAAAACTGTTTTTGCCTTACAGCTGGCACCAGAATACCTCTGAAGTGGAAAGGTGACACTGTTGGGGAAATGTATTATTCCTAAATGTTTAGGTTAGCAGCTGAGTCCTCAAGGCTAGAAGTCCACTGAGAAAGGGGGACACCCCCCTACCTGACCAAGGGGAGGATGTGGAACTCCCAGGAAGTGAGAAGCATGTATGGGAGGAGCCGATGAGATTGGGGAGCCAGGGAGTCTGTCCGTTGCCCGACCAACCCAAGTCCTTGGGAAAGTTGCTTTCATAGGAAACGTTTGGTGGGCGTTCATGTTTTGACCTACCCATCAAAGAGGCTGAATATTGTGTCCAGGATGTCACAGGGTGGACAAAGATAGTCTTCAGTTATTATTTGACAAATTATTGGCCTTAAAGAAAAAGTTCGTTATGAATTCCTAGTGTCACCTCTCTTCTGAATTATTGAGATTTTCTCGTGACTTATTTATACTATCCTATTTGTGAAAAGAAGCGTTTCATATGTGTTTCATTAATCACATAGTTCATTTTCCTCGTAGCCTTATTTCACTGTCCAATTAATCTGTCAAATACTAATAGGAATGAGTTAAAATTTTCCTCTTTTACCGAGTTTCTGTAGTAGTGTCTTCTGATGCTAAGTTACTTAGCTTATGCATGTGTGCCGGTGTGCCTCTTCATTACTGGCAATATATTGCTCTTTTTTCTTATGTGCAAAATGTTTCATCTTTAAATTCTACTTGTAATCTCTATCCTCCTTTATCTGATAGGAGTTAATCATCATCATTCTATGGATTCCTCTTTACAAGCAGCACATTTTCTAGTTAAAAAAAATCAAAACTAAGGAAGTATGTGATAAAAGAGATGAAAATGTAACGATTAAAGAAATGATAGGAGAGACGCGATCTCTTTTAGTCGTCTTAGCCGAAGGGGAAGATAGCTGTAGGGGAACACCAGGAAAGCATCTGCTCAGGAGGAGTTTGTGGAGACACTCTGGAGGCCAGATAGCCAACCGTCAGATTTTCAGATCTTTCGCCGTGGGGATAGCGAGAAGGAAGTAGAAAGAGAAATAAATGTCATTGAGTATCTGCCGAGAGAACTCTTGTGAAATGCTTTCACAAACATTATTTTGCCATTCACAATCATCTCATAAGGTGATTTTAATTTTTTTCCTACTTTACAACGGAGGAAAATGAGTTTTAGGAAGTGTAAATGGCTTGCCAAAGATCTAGTGAGGTTTGATCCAAGTCAGTCCAAAGCTTGTGCTTGGGGTAGAGGGGCTTTAAATCATCGTGACTCTGCATGGAAGTAAATATAACTGACCCTCGAACAAGGCAGGGGTCAGGGGCACCGGCCCTGGCACAGTTGGAAATCCACCTGTAACTTCTGCTCCGAAGCTGGCTCTTCACACCTGTGTATTCAGCCGTGCGTGGAGGACAGCATTTTCCGTGGAGGCTGGGGTCCGTAGCTGGGAGACCGTGGCTGGGTATCCACGGTTGGGGATGCGAAAATGCTGTGTCGGTCTAAGGTTGGTTGAATCCTTGGATGTGAAACCCTCAGATACAAAATCTGTGGCTACAAGGGGCCCACTGTATTTACTGGAAAAAAATCTCATAGAAGTGGACAGACGCACTTTGAACCTGTGCTGTTGAAGGGGCAACTGTGCATCAAGTACGTGGGGTCTGACCTGCCTTACTAAGGTCAAGTCGAGGAAGGAAAACACCTGGTACAGTAAGTTCTCTCTAGCACAGGACAGGTGATGTCCGTGCTTCATACCTTGCGTCAACCTAAAGGATAATGTTCCTTCTGGTGGCCGGATCCTGGAATCTGTTATTCCCGCAAACTTAGTCAATTTCTACCTCCAGGGCAGTCACCGGTTCCTGGCTGCATTCTTAGTCTAATCAGTCGGTTTCCTCTCCTGGGACGTGCACTGTCACCTGCTCACCAATCCGGATTCCCTTTCCGGCACCCTTGAGTTCTGGCTCCCCGTGCTGGCTGCCCTTTGGGGTGGAAAGGCGAGCCCTTTCTCACCTTTCCTAGATGGCCCAAAGCCAGGCCTTCCCTCCACGGACATGCTCTCCTGGCTCAGACTGTGGCACCCTTTCCCGGGGCTGCCCCCACGTGTGGATGCCCACCTGAGCCGACGCAGACTTGCTGAGCACTGCGCCCCTCCCCCTTCTCCCACCCCATCTAGCACAGATCCCTACTCTCTGTGCCCGCTGCCAATTTCTTAGGACCGAATCGCTCCAGGAATGAAGTGAAGCGGGAAGACAGTGGGAGAAAAATGAATAATACGGCACTTTTAAAGCGCACCGATAAATCCGCGGGATACTCCTCCTCGGTGATCGAATACTCACGCATTCGTAGCTCATTATTCATTGAGCTGTGAAATAGTAATACTAATAATAGTGAGGACTATTAATGAAAACCAAACATGGCTTCTAGCTTCTAAAAGCCAGTCCTGCTTCCCATCATCACGTGGGTGATCGTCAGAACACAAATACAGATTAAGTATCGTTTCTGCCTTTAGGGGGCTTGACATGCTTAAGACCTAATGGTGAGATGATTTACAAATAATAATAATAATAATAATTTTACACATCAGTATATCTTACAATACAGGTCAGCTAATATTGGAATTTTGTTTCTGGTATCTACAATTGATATGTTATATGAGAATGAGAAAGAAAAACTATTGGGTTTTTGATGGTATTTATTCAGTAGCTAATACGCATGGGTCAGAGTTAACACGTAGTTTTTGCATATCACTGGAAAGACATTGAACAACACATTTTTTTTCAATTTCTGTTTATTGTCAGTTCATTTCTGGCCACTAATGACACCCATGAACATCGTGCTACCCAGGATTACAGTACTTAATTCTAACTGATGATAAAGTGACTGGAAACTTCCAGCTTTTTCTTGATGTTTTATTACATTCCTGGTAATACTTTTGGTCTTTCATCATTAATAATTCATTTAGTATTCATTGTGATAATACTGATCATAATAAATTTATTTCAAATTCATGTGGATGTCATATTTTATTCACTGCTATAGGATTTTCATTGTAATTTGGAACTAATTAATATACCATTAAAATAAAGTGTTACCCACATTTTTCATTTTGAACATAATATGTCTAGCAGTTCATGACATGCCGTATGAGTATTCAGCATCCCAGTGGTAACCCAAGTATCTGTAAATTTCATTTTTAAGCAGTTTAAACAGAGCAACAGAAAAATGTGTATAGAAGTCAAATTTCAGCACATAAGTTAAAACTTAGCAGTAAGTTAACTATTAGTGATTTTTTTTAAATGTTTTCCTTTCTAATGTATAGTTCTTATTAGTATATTACAATACATGTGCTTGTATTTATATACGGTATTGTAACTCCAAAAAGATAATTTTCCTTTTGACTATGTTAGCATTATTACCAGGAGACAGTAGGAACATATACTCAAAACAGATAATTTGACTGCTTATCTTCTGCGTTTCTAACCACAATCATAAAAGTAAAAGGTAAGTTCAAACGATACATTAGTTCGAAAGAAGTACTAGGTGTATCATACAGTATACCTCATTGACGCTTTTTCTTCCTCTTTTGCAAAAGTAGTCAGTTGTTGATTATTGGTGGGGAAAGAGAGACAAACATTCAAGTAATTTAAATAGAGTATATTAAAAATGAAAATACATCTGCTATAACGACATTAAATGTCAATGGCACAAAGGGTTAAATAATTGTAGGACACCGTTGTATCCTGCGATCGTGAATTTCACGTCTCATCGGCCTTACAGAATGCCATTGTTCTTTCCTCATCTCCTTCCCGCTCTGTCTTCTCTGAATCGCCTGCCCTGCTGGACGTGGCGGTCTTGGATCTTTTCTGTTTCCACAAGTGACATTTCCTACCCTGCACTGTCACGTCTTACTATTGGCTGGGATCAGATGTTACAGGAAAAATGAAAGATTCCCTTGAACCCTGCAATCCCTTGAGACACTGACCTTGTCGCCTGACTCCACAGCATTTGACACCGCGTAATCACGCTCGCTCTTTCTGATGCTTTTTCCTTAACTTCCGTGACACTACAAAATACTCGTCTCATAATTGGGCCTTCTTTTAAATTTCGTTCCCTAAAGACAACCACTTTTAACTGATGCAAAATAAGACCGTTCCTGTGTATGCGTTCACATAGCCATGCAGTGAAATCGTCTTTTATAAATACAGAAGCACATTATACGGCACTGTAGCATCTTTTTTCACATTACATCATGTTGTCTGTCTCTACGTCAAGACATTGATCCACTTAATTTTTGTAAGGACAAATTAGTATCTCATTTTATGGATATTCTACAGTATATCTGCTCATTTAGATTGTTCTCATTATTTCAATAGTGCAAACAATGATACATCATATAGAAAATAGATTTCTTGGGATAGAATTGATGAATCTTCCTTAGAGTTTAGCATCTTTTCATGCAATATTTAAAATTAAAAGTGGTGTGTATTTTATTTTCTGTAAATTGTCTTTTGCTGCTTTTCAATGAGATTGTTTGATTTTTTACCAATTTTGTTTTTCTTTTGCTTAAATGTAGAGACTACAGCATAAAATCTTTGGTTTCCATGTTTTTGGAATTCACAGTGTATGAAAACATGGCCGATCTTAGAAATTTGCTCATATCCGTCCTGAAATTTGTGTCTTATCATTCCCATGATAATTTTCCGACATATGTATGCATCCCTGATGAAGAGTCTAAAGTTTGTGAGTTTTCCGTTTATATCAATGAAAATTTTCTGTACCTGTTCAAAGACCCAGATTGCTTCCTACTAGCACTAAACACCAATGTCCGTTGCTCTGCGTTCCCACCGATACTCGTCACGGTCAGGCGTTTCTGTTCATTGCAGTAGATGTCAGTGTCTTTTCACACCGTAGTCTCTCTAGATTATTTTATTGTTTTAAGGAGATTGGTGCTATTTTACACTGCAGAATTTCAGTACTGTGTTTGAAAACGGCACAGGAATTCTTCTTTTTGCCCCTTTTCCCCTTCGTCCTCCCTTTTACTTTCCCTCTTCCCTTTCTCTCTCCTCCTTTAGAGGCAGTGCTGATGAAGATGGCAGCCTCTAGAGCCAGACTACCTAGGATCAGGTCTCAGCTCTGTCACATAGTAATGTGTGACCTTGAGCACAAGCCACAGCTCTCTCTTACTATCTTCCTCAAAGCCAGAAATAGGGATAATAGCGATTGACTTGATGGGGGTGTTGAAAGGGTCAGATATGACTCAGTTCACTGGTATGTAAAATGCTAGGAACAGGGCCTGGCACATAAAGGGTTAATTTGTTTACGAGGTTATTATTCTTTCTCTATTTCTTCTAACAGATTCTTCTAGATACCTGCCTGTCTTTTACCTGTAATCACCCCAGGATTCGAATTACTAAGAGTGTGAAGCACCTGTTGGCTGCTCTGCAACTCTGTCATCCCGAAGTAGGGAGGGTCCTCAATGTCGTGAGTGGGTCTAGTGCGGGGATCTTGGCAGTGGCGCCCTCCCTGGGACTGAGCGTGACCCCCTCCAGGGGAAGCCGCTGCGGTAGGCGTTCGGGTAACATAAATGATCTCTCTGGAACCCCTGGGGGAGCTCTGTGGGACAACATAGACAAGATTGCCGCCTTTCAGATTTTAAAGTGCAGAGGAGAGACCATCATTAACCAACCAGTAAACGCGATTGTGTTAGATCGTGCGCAGCCTCGGGAGCCAGGAAAGGGCCGCAGAGGACGGAGCAGGAGCTGCTCGCACAGCCACATGGCAGACGTCGTACGAGCCAGGAACACGGGGTCTCTGCGTCTCTACCATTCGCAACAGGCAGGGCAAGCGCATGACAGTCACGAAATTTTTTTCTTCTAGTCCTAATTGTTTAGAGTGATCGCTCACAGTTATTTCCAGGAAAAATTTATCCCTTCGTACAGTAATCTTGTCACAGCGCTTTCCGGGATAAGGTAACGTGTCCCCCCTCGCGCGTGGCTTTTACAGCTTGCCCTGCAGCTGCCTCACACCGAAGGCCACCTTGCTGGTCGGCGTGGATTCTGTCCCCTGCTCTTCTCCGCGTCTCGGTCACTGACTTCCATGCGTCATTTTTGTTACTCCCTTTGCCGTTGTGGGTCCTTTTCAGTCAGGCTGTCCAGGCAACTCTCTTTCCCGCTTATCTAGAACTGTCATCCGTCCACTTGTTTTTCCAGCTGTTTGTCACTGACAGCTTATTCGCTAATCCTATTTTCTTTTCTCAGCCAACTTTATAGTATTGTCTAAGAATTTTATTGTTAAAGTGTTTTTATTTTCCATTCTGTTTTTGTTCTAATTATAATAAATTAATGAAATCTATTTATTTAATCTAACATATAATGGCAACAAAAAAAAATAACTTTTCCAACCAAACACAATTCCGAGGGAATTTTTTTTTTCAAGTAAGAAATAAATGACTGGCCATTTTTTATTCATTCAGCAAACATAAAGTGCGAATTATGTGCCAACCAGCATTCTAGGAGAGAAATTTCTCTGTGGTCCCCCAGAAGTTGCCCAAAGCGGTATCACTTTATCAAAGGGGCGGGGTAGGGGGGGTGAACTGTAATGACTGGTAAAATTAAGAGAGAGAGCTATCTTGATTAAACAGTTTCTTGATATAAGTTAGTAAATCTAAAGACTGAATTTTTTTATGTCTTTATCTCTTAATAAGCCTTATGGCCCTGCCTTCTGCTTCCTGCCTCTTTTAACTAAAATAGACTTTCTGAGAATTCTATCTACAATTGTTACTTTGTGCTGGACTCGTAGAACTTAGAGGCAATTTATTTAACTGATGCCTTGAGTGAATTATTCAATCATTTTAATCTTGTATAATATGTATAGCAGCATTTAAGTAGTAAATTCAAATAATGTTTTTAAAATAATGAAAAAATAGCACATTGCTTTTTTTTATTTCCTTATAAAATCTCTTGAAAATTAATTAGTTGCAAAGTAGGTGATTATAAAAATTTTAAAAAGTAAAGCTGTTGAAAGCACATGGCCCCTCAGAGAAAGGTTAATTTTTAAAACATAGCGCATGATTTTTGAAATGCTTTCGTTACTTAGTATTTTAATTTTATTTAAAATGACATCTGATTATAATTATTTTGGAAGACATTAAAGGTTAAGTCTGACAGGTTGATTCGCTTTATAATTATATTAGTGACTAACAAAATGCTCTAATTTTTTTTTTAAGTGCTGTGGATGTGTTTAGAAAAAAAGAGTATGATGCAGCAGTTAAAATCCAGAGCTGGTTTCGAGGATGTCGAGTTCGGGCATATATCAGGTATATTGATTTTGGCATGGAAAATCAGATATATCATAAAATATACTTTACAGAGAATGTGATTTGTGCATGTAGTGCTCATTTCAAATTATCTTTTATGTTATTTGTAATTAAACGAAATTATATGTCTTTTTTTAAAAATATAACTTTTTTGTCATCTTTTCTTACATATCAAAAAACTAACTTCTATAGACTATTTCTTGACTTCTAAATATCTTCAGTATTGTAAACATACTTGATAAAATTCTTTCCTTCGAATTCCATATTCGAAGAAACGACTGGACTTGTAGTTATAGCAATGAATTCATTGACCGGTAAGAAAGAAAAACACACACACACACACACACACACACACACACACACACACTCTCTCTCTCTCTCTCTCTCTCTCTCTCTCTCTCTCTCTCTCTCTCCAACCATCTCAACATGTTGATAGATGAAGGGAAATGAGGCTGTTCCTATTACAAAGAAACTGAAGTTGACCCTTAACAGTTCCCACGTTTTCTTCAGTGCTCAAACTTTCCTTCAGCCCCGCTTAAATTTCAAAAAAACCACATTTTCTTGCATAAGGTGGAGGGAGACTATGCCTCTTCTGTGACGACTCAGAATGCGGCTGGGGACTGTGCTGTACACGCCTCGTATTAGCCGGTAGGAGCCGGACATGCAGATCAGAGTGTGAAGGTGAAGTTCCTCCTCTCGCCACAGTCTCAGCTCGGAACACGGCAGCAAGGAGAACATTTCTGCATTCAGACTGACGTTAGCGTGGACAGACGTTAGCGTGGACAGACTAATCGAGGAAAGAATGAAAGAGGGAACTGCTTCCTGACCTCGAGAATTATCTCAGTCCTTAAAGCGAGTCACATCAGTCTGCCTGGCTCAAAAAAAAAAAAAAAAAAAAAAAATAGTGCTTGGCTTATTTCTCAACGTGTCACTGTGACCTATTCTATGGTGTTAACATATAAAAATATTTTACAGAGTTATGTACTGAAGAGTAATTAAAAATTTTAAAAACTGTTTAATCGGAAACCCAAAAGAAATACTGAGTACTTGTCTCTGACTTATTTCTACTTCTAGGAATCAGGAATTCTAACGTAGAATGATTACTCTAGTCTTTAAAAGTATACAGAAACTTGGCTTTGAATTTGATTGCTTGAATCGTAGGAAGGTATATTCTAAGCAAAAATTTAAGAAATGTCTTTGTTTCTGTGAAAGCGTACTAACAGGTATATTTTTCACTCAGGTTTTTACACAGAGTAGCAATAATTATTCAAAAATGTTGGAGAGGTTACTTAGGAAGACAACATTATCAACTAATTGTGAAGGTAAATACTATTTTATATATACATATATTTATTGGTAGTTTTTAAATTATTTGGTAAATATTTATATGAGAACAAAATTGATTTAATTTTTAGTATGAGACCTGAGAAGACTTTTCTGATTTTTCCATGGACAATTGGTGACTCATTTCTTCATACCCAAACTACACCAGATATTTTATTTTTGTTAAAGTACCTTTTACACTGTATGCATTTATATGTACTTATTTGTTAATGATTTTTTCTACTTTCTAGATGGTGAGCTCTTTCTGAGTAGATACTGTAGCTTGTTCATTTGTGGGTCACCAACATTAGGCTATTCTTTGGCCCGTAGCACAGTCAATAAACATCAGTTCAATTGAAGTGCCCCAAATCCTACAAAATATAAAAAATAAGGCAATTTTTCTTTGCGTTACTTACCATTCTCTAGTACTGACTGTTAGAATATTTTGAAGATGTGCCTTGAGAAATTTAGCATACCACAACCATCTGTATCCACTGGTAGACTAGCAGAAGTATACAACAGCATGCCAACTTATACCTCAATTGAGTTTTAGCAAATTAAGAAAAAGGTAATTTTTTCGATTCAAAATGGGAAGGCTTCTAATTAGTGGCCTGCTCCATCAACTTTTTGATTTGTTACCATTTCTACCATAATAGTTTAAATTTATTCTTTATTTATTCTCGATTAGTTGCATCTAAGTGAAATTAAAAGATACAGAGAGGGAAAAGAAAAAACGAGCCCATAACTAATTGGTAAGAGTTCACGTCGAGCAAGAAAATTTTAAAACGTGTTAAAGTACAGGGACTGCTTGGAGGAAGAGCCTGATATTTTAGATTTAATGAAATACGCTAGAGAATTCAAACAGAAGTGTGGCCATAAACTTTCATAAGCATTGGCTCTCTTTTCCAGGTAGGTTTAAAACCGCTGTGATTTCCCTATAAAACATATCTGATGTCCTATGCAAATTTTTGTTATCTAAATTTCACCTTGCCTTAACATCATCACCTCCCTTACCAAAAGAACAAAGAAAAAATGTATGCAGGGAGAGAAGAGAGAATATGATACAGCAAATGTCTTCACCTGAGTGAGGAAATCTGAGTGAAGACTGGATGGAAGTTCTTTGGACCATTTACAGATTTCCTGTAAATCTGTAACCATTTGAAAATTTAACAATTTCTTTTAAATGGCTAAAATGTCACTGAGGCAGAAGACTTTTTCTAGATCAGGAAACCCATCCTAAAGATTAACGAGGCTAATGAGAAACACTGCAAGTCTGTTGCAGATATAAGAGCAGGCTTTTTAGCCAGTTGAATTAAAAGAATAAAGTCATCTTTGGTTTTGGTGGATTTTAAAACTCTACAGTGGCCAAACATAAAGATTTCAATAAATGGTATAACCAGATCTCCATAAATAATGATTGAATGAGATTAAAATAGCTTCCATTTACTGATTGATTATGTGAGTGAAATATTGTGTTAAGCACTTTACTTACATAATGTGTTTACCAGCTATAGAATGTCTTATACCAACCCTATGAATAGAATCACCATTTTATAGATGAAGAATATTAGGCTCAGGGATGGTCACTTCCCTAAGGACACACTGTTAGCGATAGGTGGAGAAAAGTTCAAAGCCAGTTGGATCTGATTCCAAGACTTTTCTAGATTGAGCTGGTAGGCACTTTTGGAGATGTTCCTCCTCTGGGTTATAGAGAGACCCTTTGAGACTGAAGTACTGCCAACATGCCAGAGACCTGCCTTGTGGAGCCCTCATCCAAAAAATGCCCATTGTCCAAGTCCATGTTTTTGGTCCTTCTATGTTCATCCTCTGAGGACCCTATCGCTGCTGGGCCACATAAGACAATGGGGTTTTTGCCAGAGCTAGTACGCTGGTGTTTAGAGCCCTCTCCTCCGCAGCTGCCACCAAGCTCATGCTAGAGTTTAAGCTACTTGTCAAGAGCATTGGGAACGCAGATGCTGTATTTCCTCATTTCAGAAATCTAACGCCCATCTCT